AGATCATTTGGGCATCCTGGGACCTGTCCTCAAAGGAGAAGTTGGCGACGAGTTTATTGTAAGTGATGAAAAGGAGATGCTCTTCTCTGGGAATGTTCTCATGATCAATAGTGGTGCCATGCAGACAGATCCTCTTGGACCAGTCTGGGAATGCTTTGGTCCTTAAAATATTAAAGAACCCTAGGCTTGGATGGATGGGGCCTTGAAAGGAATCCTCAGATCATCCCAGACCAAGGACTGTCCAATCTTTTCTTGGAAACCTCCAGATGATGGAGCATCCATGACTTCAGAAGTTTGGCTGTTCCATTGTCTAATAGCTTTCTCAGTCTTTGGTGAGCTGTCAAGTCTCCACGATCAAAACTACAGAAGGATCCTTCTGTAGTAATCCATATCAAAATCTTAATGGACTCTATCAGAAATGTTCAGTTCATTTAGTTATTCTATGGGGTGGAAAATATTTGAGGGTTATCAGCCATGTTTGACCAGTTTGTTGACTTGGGCATACTTTGAAATTGTTTACAAAGGACCACTTTGGACCTAGGGATAGTCATGAAAGTTGAGAGCCAAGAGAAGAAATATACCATGTTAAATTGATGAAAAATGAGGCAAATCGATACAACAAAGGCTTTGTTATGATTAAGTCCCAACACATTTCAAAGCAATACCTCTTCATCAAGAGACTGAGAAAAATAAATAAAATAGCATAGTGCAGTGTACTAAATATTATAAGAGTGAATAGGATGCTGGTATAATGCATATTCAATCATCTAAAATCAATAAAATCTGCATTCACCAAAGGTTTGGCCTACTCACATTTGTTAGTTAGTTAGATCAAAGACTTTTTTAGACCTGTTTCCTGCTTTTTTCCACCAATTCATTAAGCGCCTCATTTTTTTCCTGATAGAACATATCAGTGTTGATGTTGACTGCACCAGGTCTGCCTTAGTTAATTAGCGGTAAATTGATTGCTTTTATTGATTGTAAACACTCTCAAGTCCTTGAGGGAAATAAGCAATTGATAAAAGATTGCACTGCATAAATAAATAGGCAAACAAACCAATCAACCAGTTTTCAAGATTCCATGAAAGCTTGAATAAAAGGAGAAATTCACTCATTCTAGTTACTATGACTCTGAAGTCTGAGAAAAATTCTTAATGAAAGGTGGTATATTCATATTATTTTGTTAAAAATGTAAGATACTTATTTATGGTAACAAAACAATCTTTAATTTGATCTAAAAGTAATTGGTGCATCTTTCGATTGGCAGAAAATATTGCCTTTTTCAAAACAGAGAGATCACACATTTCCAGGAATATAACTTTTCCATTCTTTTCATTGCAATATTTATGATTGCAAAGCATGGGAAAAATA